GTCCTCCACAACTAGACTGAAGAACAAAAGGACAGCAACTTGTCTGTTCCCATCCCCCCAATTCCCCAATAAAAATCTTAAAAAAAAAAAAAAAAATTCAGTGTATAGAATTACTTACTCATCATCTGGAGTGAGCTGGACAGGTTCATTAGTAAACTGAGAATCGAAGTTGTCCAAACCAAATTCCCCAGAAATATTTGGTTTAAAGGGAGGTACCACCTGCTTTTGCTCCATCTAGAAAGACATATTAGATGACAGCTCAAGCTTCATTCTTAAAAAATTCCACCTCTACATTTCTCTTCTGCCCTCAGGTGTTTCCTGCTCTTATTAAACTGAGTCCCTAGGCAAGGTTCTACAATATTCACAATGATGGAAATAATTTACCAATCTGAACATTGATACAGGTCTCAATAATATCATAACCTGCTCCACTTAATTGGTGTTCTGAGCTCATTGTTTTAAGAGCTTTTGGAAAAGCACTTTTGAGACTGGTTTTAAGTACCTTAAGCTGTGATTTACTATTTTCCAACATTCTTTTAAGATAATAAAATTTGGCCCAAGATACTAATGAAACCCAATATAGAAAACAATCAAAATTTACTTACCATATCCCAGTCAACATTTCGGAAGAATGGGTGTCCCTGAATATCAGCAAATCCTGTTTGAGGATGACAACCCAATCGTTCCTTAGGGTCCTATGGTGGAAAGAAATGTTTCAAAAACTGGGTGAATATTTTCTTTAGAATACATCATCTTTGTGACCTGGATTTTGTACCTATTCTATGATATCTTTATGTCTGAAATCAGAATGGTCTACCTCTCACTTTTAGAAGGTACAGCACTATACTCAAATGAGTATCTGAAGCGTGTGACAAGTAAGATTTCCTCATGGCTCTTTCTCCAGCTATCATGTAATTAAAGTGGAGCTATGTCACCACTTCTTGCTAAAGAAAAATGGGAGGAAAAAGAGAGCAGAATCATTTGAGCGGCATCTAGCTATTTCTTTGGCATGGATTAGAGTGATAGTCAAAATATGCAAACCTCCAAACTTCACAAGTTTCTTAGCTTAATTTAAAAGCCCCATGCCCAATTACAGGGACAATCTATAATCTGTGTACAATAATGATACAACCATTATCTGAATCACTGGATTGAGAAGGGGCCTACAACTTGTAAAAAGTCTTGGCTTATTCATTACTGTGAATGAGAACATGTTTCTATTTTTCTTTCCAATAAAAGGCAATTTATTTTGCATATTAACACCTCTTACCTTCATTTTTCACTGTGTTAAAGCTTAAGTTTCTACTTACAATCTTTCCTCATATAAAGTACTCATTTAAAACAAGCTTCAATTCATTTTATTAAAATACATTATTGTTATTTATTTACCCTATTCAACCTACCTTCTAACTTACCACTTATTTAAGATTTATGACTGCCAAGACCATTGTGCTACAATAAAAAGTATATATTTGGTCTTTGGCCCAGGGTTCTGACAGAGAGCTTCTAAAACCCTTGTAATTTCCTGAGTGATAGGAGTGTCTTTTGTTACTCATAACAAGTCCCTTTCTATCATACCTGAGTTTATGCTAATAAGGTGACTCTTGATGGACCTCTAGATAGTTTGAGGATGAGATCCTAATGGTAACTCCATAAAAACCTATAAACCATGGGGGTCAGAGAGCTTCTAGTTGGTGAACACATCCACGTGCTGGGAGGCTGGCACCTCGCAAATCCATTGGGACAGAAGCTCCTGAACTTGGGACCCTTTTGGACCTCACCATCTGATTGTTCATTTGCATCCTTTAAAATAAACGGCTAATAGTAGCTTTCCTAAGTTCTATAAGTCATTCTAGCAAATTATTGAACCTAAAGTGAGAAGAGGGGTTTCAGGAAGCCCCAACTTTGTAGCCAAGTCAGACGGAAGTGTGGGTGCCTAATACTTGTGACTGGTGTCCGAAGTGAGGACAGTCTCATGGAACTGGGCTCTTCAACCTGTGGAGCCTGACACTAGCTTCAGGTGGGCAGTGTCAGAAATTAACTGAGATGTAGGACACCCCGTTGGTGTCTGGAGAGATGGAGAATTGGTTGTCAGTATGGAAAAACCTGATATATTTGGTGTTAGAAATGTTATGAGTATAAATAGTTCAGAATCATAATTTTAGATAGATTCTAAAACTGTGCTAGCCTACCAACTGCAACAATTGAATGACGTTTGACGTATTAATAGCCAACGATAGGACTACATTTCTTCTGAATTTTATCTAATTAAAGGGTTTTTGACATGAGAATTTGTAAAGAACATTACTGCCCCAATTGCTCAATAAGCAAAGAGATTCTATGAATAATAATCCAAAGAAAATTGAAATTAGAGCTGAATTGAAATTAGAAAATTAGAAAATTGAAATTAGATAATTGAGACTATCTCTAAAGATGTAATTTTTTCCCTAATTAAGTACACGGTATACATCATTTATATTAAGAACATCATATGTAATATATAACTGGAAACAAATTATATTGGCAAAATGGAAAGGACAATTCATCTCAGAATCTAACGTTGTCAAATTACTCTTTGGTGAAGAGACAAATTCCAGATCTAACTGAAAAAAATTACATCCTCTGATATTTTGGAATTTTACGTTGCTTGAACCTCTACTTCAGTTTTATTTTTACAGAGATAAACATTAAAAATTTTTATACACGATTTATACCTTGTTGAGAAAACTCTTCAGGACACTTGCGGCTTTAACAGACAGAGAACGTGGTATGCGAATTTGTTTTTCCAAAATAACTAAAAAGATAAAATTAATGGCATTATATTTAACTCTTACATGGTTTTAATCTTTACATTTTTATTGAGATAGTTAAGGCATTTTAGCAGAAAAAAAGAAATCATTACATACACTACTTAGGCATCTCGTGTACTTTCCCAGTCCTATTCCTCTCCTTCTTAGAAATAGCCTCTAATCTGAACACCGTTTTTTATCATTTATGTGTATATTTTATTCTTTGAATACCTTATTGTACCTTAGTTTCCTCATCTGTAAAAAAGGGAATAAAAACAATACCTGCTTCATAGGGCTGTTTTCAGGTTTAAATGAGTTAATATCTAGAAAATGTGCAGCATATATTACTGTATTAGATTTTATTGGACATTGCCAAATTATTCTCCAAAGATGTTGTATCCATTTTCACTCCCACCAGCAGTCTATCCGAGTTCCAGTTGCTCCCCATTCTCACCAGCAGTGGTATTATCAGACTTCAAAATTGTAGGGCTTTTATTTTTTTCACCTTTTGATTCCTCTTATCTTCTTGGTACTCTACTTTTCCCCCATATTGTTCCTGAACTTAAGCACTCAGCCTTGGTTCCACATGAAAAAGACTGTCCTCCTGAGCCACAGGGGCTGTTTGTGATATATAATCTGAAGGAACCTCTTTGTTACGTTTTTGAGAACGAGAAGGTAACTGGAAATGGGACTGAAGACTACAAAGACAGAAAAGATGTATTCCAAAAAACCAAAGCCTCACATATTAAGAAGTGTATTTTCCGAAATTTTCCTCTTTTTTACTTAAAGTAATAACTTGTGCCGTCCTCATTCATGCTCTAGAATACATTACTTACAGAGAATCTCTGTAAAATACTGCAAGTTACCTTGGAAGAGATAATCCTCTGTGTTTTGATCAGGGTTATCAGAGCTTCCGACAATATCGAATGGAGACCTTCCTGCCATCATCTCAAACATTAGTACTCCAAGAGCCCACCAGTCGACACTGAAACCTTCAAAAAAGAAATTTTAAAGCAACAAATTACCCAATCTGCAGTCTTGATTCATTTCATTACATAATGAAAAAATAAACATAATGAAAAAGTAAACTCTAAATGTATTTTATAAAACTATCAGGGTAGGCACAGAGGATTACAGGAATATTTTACTTATCAACAAGGGAGGTACCTAAAAGATAACTTTAAAAATAAAATATGAAAAATAAAACATGTTTCTTTTCCCAAATAAATCTGTAATTTCAGGTTCATGGACTGTATCTAATATTTTGTTTTGAGGATATAGTTAAATTGCATTTGCGAATAGCCTTCCTTGATCTGAAATTTGATCTTCTGCTAGCTGATTAAAGATCCTTGAAGGAATCAGGTTATGAGCAGCTATCAGAAGTACCCATGCTCCTTTACATCAGCTAGAATCAGAGGGCCAGAACCCAAGCTGTCACGTGTTTTCTTAAGATACACATATCCTCTAGTTCCCGACAAGCAATCACTCTTTCCATCATCTTTCAAGATTCCTGGGGGAAATATCCTAGGAAAGCGGAATAAATTTTCTAGAGGTTCATGACTGGAGTTACATGGTTGAAGTTTAAAGCCCTACTCTGCCACTTTCTAGCGATATGATTTTGGGGAAGTTATTCAAGCTTTCTACACATTAGTTTCCTCGGCTGTAAAATGGGAGTTAACAGTGCTTACCTTATAGGATTACTGAGAGAATTAACTTAGATAATATATGTAAACTGCTTAGAATAGTGCCTAGTGCTCTTCAGTGCTTGTCACTAATAAAATATTCAAATTTGCACCCCTAAATACTGCCAAGATCTCACTGTCGCTGATTTCAGAGTTTGGGGTTTTCATGTAGGTTTTAAGGGGATCAAAAAATGTATATTAATAAGATCAGTACTGAAATGCTACAGTATACTAAAATGCAATTTGTACCACATTTAATCACCCTTCTAGCATATAACTAAAATACCACCTATTAATTTATTACCGTAATCTTCTCCTCTTAAAATTTCAGGAGCAATGTAATTAGGAGTACCACAGAAAGTGCTGGTTGTATCTCCTGGCCGTAATCCTTCCTTTTATAAAAAAAAAAAAGAAAAAAAGAAAGAACAGAGAAATTCTGTTTTAAATTCACCTCTTTTATTTCATCTATCATGTAAGCTCAGCACCCATAGGTAATACATTAAGCTTAAATAAAATATCACTATCACAGTTGCTTTTATTATTAAAATTATGGATTGCCACTAAATAGCTTAAATAAAACCTGTTCTCATTAGGTATTGGTAAAGAATCAGTTCAATTAAGATAAAATTGCAATTAAAATAATTTATATTCAAGTAAAAATTTAATATAAAAATTTAAATTATATGAGTAAAAGGGATCATAGATTGTGAAGAAAAGAAGCACTTTAAATCCCACCTAATACAACCACTGCTGGCATTCTGTTTCCCTCCTAGTTGGTTCCTAAGGCACTCTTTTTTTTAAATTTTGTATTATAATAGCTACAGGATGGAGCAAATTAAGGTGAAACACACTAATACATATAAATAGAGAAAGTGCACACTAACAAATGGAACAATCACCAAGAAGTTATAACAAACTTATATGCACCTCACAACACAGCCTCAAAATACAACAAGTAAAAATAGACAAAATTATTACGAGAATTTCACAATCCCTGTTATGGATTGAATGTATGTGTGCCCCAAATTCATGCTGAAGCCCTAATGTGATGGTATTGGGAGGTGGGGACTTTGGGAGGTGATTAGGTCATGAGTTTGGTCTCCATGATGGAATTAGCGTCCTTATAAGAAAAGGAAGAGAGTTCTAGCCCTCTTTCTCTCCCCGCCATATGAGGATACAAGAAGACAACCATTTGCAAACCCTGAAGTGTGTCTACCAGACACTGGATCTGGGGGCACCTTGATTTTGGATTTCCCAGCCTCTAGAACCATGAGAAATAAATGTTTGTTTTTGAAGCCACCTAGTCTATAGTATCCTGTTATTGCAGCCCAAATTGATAATACAATCTTCAATCATAACAGGTGATTTCAACACATTTACATCAGAAAATGATAGGTCATGCAGACAAAAATTAGTAAGCAGAAAAAGATTTGGCCAAAATCTAGAGCAAAAAAATATATATATAAATTATACACATAGAGAATATGTATATCTGTGTGTGTGTGTGTGTGTGTGTGNGAGAGAGAGAGAGAGAGAGAGAGAGAGAGAGAGAGAGAAAAGGGAGAAGGAGGGTGAGAGAGAATGTGAAAGACAGTCTCCTTGTATGCAAAATACAGATTATACACCCTTTTTATAAGTACACAGGGGATACTGACCAAATACTAAGTCACAAAGAAAATCTCTACACAGTTCAAAAATCCAGTATTACTCAGACCATTTTCTAGTCACGATTCAATTAAGTAAGAGATAATAAAAGATAGTACAAAAACAAGCTGAATAATATTAAATATACAATTAAGCATCTTCTTTTTTTACTTTATAAGCATGTAATTTCCTACATAAAGACTTGCTATTATTGAGTATATAAAATTCAACTGAACATCTGTACCTAGAATGTAACTATTTCCCTATTGCCAAATTATATGCTACAAAATTCCAAACAAAAAAAGGGGAGATATACATGCAAATCAAACCTTCCCATTCCTGTCTGACACATCCAGTTCCAGCCCCCTAGAGGCAACCACTGCTATGAGGTCATGTGTACCCTCCAGAGATATTCTGGGCATGGTGTATGTATTTTTCTTTACATTTTACTCTATTATATATAACACATCTACAAGAAATATTTAGTAATGTTGTGACTCCAAAGGTTTTTCTGTGTGATTCCTAATAGTGATATATAAGTTACTTTTGTATACAAGAAACATGACTGTGACTTAAGTTGTATTATTGGCAATGGCTTGACATACAGGCTAATGATAAATGAAATGCACTTTCACAGCAAGAGTCAGAAGCAAGGGAAGTAGTCTGTTAACTTGTAACAGAGCTATGCTAAATCATTCACTTGTTCACTGAATATCTAAAAGTAGGACCACCAGCTAAATTATCTACAGTGTAACAGAGATGTTATTATTAAAATGTCCCTGATTAAAAAAACGAGTTAAAGATAAATCAGTTCATAAAATGGCCAGTTTTTCAGTCAATAAAATCAATGTTCATAAAATATTCCAAACATAAGCCTGAAGATATTGACATTTTCATATTCTTCCAGTCATCACTATCTTATATTCTCTTTATATAAAAGCATCTAGTGAGAAACTGAGGAAATTAATTAAACCTAAAGAAAATATTCTGGAGAAACTATGAAAAAAAAGTTTAGTGTTTTAGATTTCCCAAGGAACTGTTATAAGGAAAAGAAATTAATCCAATATTTGCCAGAGGTCTGACATTAGGTAAGTTTAAATACTGACTCTAAGTCCTAAGATAAGAACATTAATATTTCTGGGGGACTCATTTCCCATAAACTTTAACATCACAAGGATGTAAATGTATAAGTGAGAGAAGAGACAAAGTACTGTTAGTAAAGTCTTTGAATAGAAGTTCCAATCCTGGTGCCTTTTTTCCTACCCATAAAACCAAGTAGCTACTGGAAAAGGAGAAAAGGCAGTAAGGGCGGTAGGTAGGAGAACCAATTTGAAGACCTACCAAATAAGACCTCTATGATTTATCAAAGATCCTGATTAACTTGGTTGAGGATCTCCAGAAAGAACGAGAATGTATAATAAACCAATATTATTTTTCATTAAGAGTAACAAAGATTGGCCAGCCAAGTGGCTCAGTTGGTTAAGAGCATGAGCTCTGAGCAACAGGGTCGCTGGTTCAATTCCCACATGGGCCAGTGAGCTGCGCCCAAGCTGAGCTGCCGCCGAGCTGCCAACAGGTGGCAGGATGGCTCAGCTGGTGACAGCATGTGCTCCTAACAACAAGGTTGCTGGTTCAACTCCCGTATGGGATGGTGGCTATGCCCACCCGCAACTAAGATTGAATATGGCACCTGAGCTGAGCGGCCACAAACTACCTACGGGCAGCTGGATGGTGACTAGACTTGGAACTAACCTAGCTGCGCCCTCCACAACTAAGATTGAAGGACAACAACTTGGCTGTTCCCCTGCCCCAATTCCCCAATAAAAATCTTTAAAAGAGAGAAAAAAAAAAAAAGAGAGTATCAAAGATTAAGTAATTTTTCTCTAATAAAATCTTCCAGGAAAAATAAGATTCCCAAATTTCTTTGAATAATAAAGGAAGAAAAGAGAGAAAGACAGAGACAGAAGGAAAGCCTTAATTCATTTTTGTGAATTTCATTGTTCAAGTAATGTATGCCCATTTACAATAACTTAAAAAAGATGTAAAAGTAAACAGAATAAACACGCGCTACTACATAATAGAATAATACATAATGGAATACATAATAATACACACAGAACTAGAGAATTCTATACTTTAAAACTGTACTTAATGTTGTAAGCATTTTGCATTATGAACTTTCTGTAAACATCTTTTTAAATGACTTCATATGACATGTTTTTTAGCCATTCTATAATTTCCTTAATCATTCTCCTTACCACTGGCCATTTAGATTACCTAAAATATTTATCATAAAGTAAAATAAAAAGTTTTGGTTATAATCTGTCCTCACAGACAAAAAATATTTACTCACCATATCCCAGGGGCAGAATTACTGTATCAAAGAATATGGCCATCTTTAAGATTCCTGGTACATCCCCACCAAACTGCTTTACAAATGGATATAACAAGATACACTCACCAGTGACATATGAGCATGCCCATTTCATTAAACTCTGTGGACTACTGTAATTTTAAAATCAGTATCTGGCATGCAAAAAAAGTCTCATTGTTTTAATTTGTACACTTATTAATAAGGTTAACATTCTTCATATTTTTTGTTCAGCTTTACTTTCCCTTGACAAATTATAAGACTTTTTTATTATTGTCATTTTTCTTTTGAAACGAGAAAAAAAAGTCCACTGGGGAAAAAAACGAGAGAGATCAAAAGGTATCACAAATCTGAGTGATGGATACACAGGAGTTCACCTACTAAATCTCTATTTGTTTATGATCAACATTTGTATAATAGAAAAATGTAAGGAAATAAAAATTTAATATAAGAAAAGATAAATGTCTCAATTTTGTACATCAAAGCGAAAATCGTTTAGGTAAAGATTCTCTTTTCTAATGTTGATGAACAAATAGTAAGGTTAAATCTGCAGTCCTATTAGACTATCTTACTTAATGTTAGCATTTAAATAACCTCCAGGCTCTGGAGGCACTTCCCTCAGGTGAATGGAGGAACACAATTGACACATTTACATCCCTGTTGCCTTATTACAGTGTGAGAATAAGTCTATCTCAGATAATTTAACAAGGAGTATAGCTCCCTACACATTTTAAGGGAAAAAAATTGGGCCTTGAACAAAACACTGTTACAAAAAGAATAAGACACCGATAAATAAAGGCCATGTCCTGGGCCAGCCAAGTGGCTCAGTTGGCTAAGAGCTCGCTCAAGAGTGCGAGATCTGAGCAACAGTGGTTCAATTCCTGGCCTGAGCTGAGCTTCCACTGAGATGCCAACAGGTGGCAGGATGGCTCAGCTAAATAAATAAATAAATAAATAAATAAATAAATAAACAAAGGCCATGTCCTGAGAATAACTAAAATTCTTATTTTGTTCTATTGTACTTTATGTCAGATATTTAAATTTTAAATATAAAAAATGTTAGAATTCCTAGGAAAATCTTAAATGCATTATAATAATTATTATTTAATTTTTTTAAATGCATTAAGAGTTACAATTAAATGACAAAAAAACTATGGTGATATGCAAATAGTTGTGCTCAAGTTGTGAAACTGTAGACGATTTTTATTTCTAAATTTGTAATAGTGTCACAACTTTCAAGACAAAAAGTTGCAAACAATAAACAGAAATTGACTCATTATAGTACACATAACACTCACAGAAAATACAGAATTTCATAAATAGTTAGGAAATAAGTACATTTGTGTTTGTGCTAGAATTCCCAAAAGTACCCTAAACAAAGTAGCAATCACTTCCTCCTCTTTAAATATGAAGTTATTTTTTCAAAACAGTTTTATGAGCCACTGGCACCTTTTGAATAACTAGAAACTTCCCTCACCTTACACATGCCGTAGTCAGTGAGTTTAATGTGTCCTTCCGAGTCCAGCAAGACATTGTCCAATTTCAAATCTCTATAAATTATCCCTCGTTCATGAAGATAATTTAATGCCAGGCTGATTTCTGCAGAGTAAAATCTAAAATAAAATGAAAAATAACTCCTTTGATTCAAATTTTTAAGTTGTGGTAAGTTTCTAGAGGAAGGTATTCAAGTACTACTCTCATCTGCAAACAAAGACATCAAAATCATGTCAAAGATTTTTTCCTCCCAATGTTTTCAGGAATAATACCAAACACAAATTGAAGTACCACTTTAAAATATCCAAATCCAAAATACAATTTTAAAAGTTCCAGTATAAATTAAACTCACACTTTTCATTAAGTCATTAATTTGAAAGTCTCAAACAGGTGTTCTTAATTTGGGTCCTTGGATGGACTTCAGGCAGTCCACACTCCTAAAACTGGAGCTAAGGTTGTATGTACATGTGTACATTTACATCTTCTATAGAGTTTCCATAGCTTGCATCACTTCCCTAAGGTTCCAATGACCTCCCAAAATGCTAAGAACCACTTATTGGTGTAGAATAGAAATAATACTAAAAGTTCACTACTCAAACCATAAAATCCATACCAAAATTCTAGAAAAGTAATTAAAAGAAATTATTCTATAACCATAACATCTAATATTAAAGAAAAAAAACTTTTAAAAACTGCCACTAACAAATTGGTGATAACCAGAACTTTTAACCTGAATAATGAAAATGAAACACTCAAGCTGGTTTATGGCTGCTTTGGTGACTGTTATCCAAGTCATGTTTGGAGGTACCTAATACACACCTTCTAGCTACATAATTCTATAAATAGGGAACTTGAGCCCTTATTCTGTACTTTGGTTCCTAAAAAAGCAAAGATGGTACATAACCAGAAATGGCACTTTAAAACAGTAAAATTAGACTACTTTCCCCAAGTCCAACTGAACAAACAAGAAACAAATACTTGCTATGTTCACAATTCAAAACATCATCTTTGGAGATTTCTGGTCAAGATGGTAGAGTAGATAAAAGCCGTGTTTACCTCCTCTCATGACTACATCAAAATTACAACTAAACTACAGAACCATCACTGAGAATCGTCTGAAGCCTAGCTGAACCGAAGTCCTACAACTAAGAACATACAGAAGAAGGCACCTCAAGACTGAGAGGAAGGGCAGAGACGCAGAACAGGCTGGTCCCACAATTCCACGTGACATTAAAAATCAGGAGGGATGTCTCAGCTGCAGAGGTCCTCCCCTGAGGAGTGAGGGGTCTCAGCCCCACACCAAGCTCCCCAGCACCGGGTTCCACTGACAGGGAGAGAAGTCCCCACAACTCTAGCTGTGAAACAAAACCAGCGGAGTTTGCGGCTGAGTGAGGCAGAGGGCAGCTAGAGTGCCAGGCAATCCTCTTCAAGGCCTGCACATGGACTTGCTAACTGACGGACTCACTCACTCTGAGCTCCAGCAATGGGGCAGCAGCTTGAAAGGTGCCAGGGACATATGCAGAGGAACTAAGTTGTCTGGCTTCAGGCTGAAGGTTGGAGTAGAAGATTTCTTCCAGAAAAAAGTGCTGGTAGAATCCCTTGTTTCTTTGTTGAGCTCTCTCCTCTCCCTGCATATAAACGCTGGTGGCCACCATATCTGAGACTCTACCAACCTAGCTAACACCATTCATCCACTCACCCTGGTGGTTCCCTCAGTTCCCACCCAACCCAACTTGCAGGATCACCCAAGCCACTTCCAGTGTCTTTTCCATACAAATGGCCTGTCTTGCCTCATGCTGCAGACTTTCCTAATATCTCTCAAAAGTTCATAAAACCCAAACAAGCAGCATCTGGCTCTGGTGTGTCCTGTAGGTCTTGCTGACCAGCCCTAAGTCTGGCACTATGAAAGCCGGCCTGTTGAGGCACCTCCAAGCCTAGTGTGGGTGGCCATCTGTAGACTGCTTTGTGGCTCATGTCAGGTGGTCCTGTGCAGAGCATAGGCTGTGGCTGAATCTGGCCTGTGGTAGCCAAATTTAGATTCAAAAGACAGATAAAGAGTTTACCAGACAAGAAAAAGCTAAAGGAGTTCATCACCACCAAACCAGTATTATAAGGAATGTCATAGGGACTTAACACACACAAAAAAGAGATAAGAAATATGGATAATAAAATGGCAATAACTACGTGTCTAGCAACAATTACTTTAAATGTAAATGGATTAAATGCTCCAATTAAAAGACACAGGGTGGCTGAATGGATAAGAAAATAAGACCCTTGCATATGCTGCCTACAAATGACTCACTTCAGATCAAAAGGCACACACAGACTGAAAGTAAAGGGATGGAAAAATATATTTCATGAAAATTAAAACAAATGAACAAACAAACAAAATTAGGAGTAGCAATACTTATACCAGACAAAATAAGCTTTAAAACAAAGGCTATAACAAGACACAAAGAAGGACCCAGTAATCCCACTTCTGGGCATTTATTCGAAGAAACCCAAAACACTACTTCAAAGGGATGTGTGTATCCATATGTTCACTGCAGCATTGTTTACAATGGCCAAGATGTGGAGGCAGCCTGGGTGTCTGTTGATGGATGAATGGAAAAAGAGGAGCTGGTACATGTATACAATGGAATATTGCTCGACCATGGAAGGGAATAGGTTCTTGCCATCTGCAGTGACATGGATAAACCTGGAGGATATTGTGCTGAGTGGAGTATGTAAGACAGAGAAAGATAGATGCAATCTGGTTTTGCTTACACGTGGAATCTAAAGAACAAAATAAACAAATGAAACAGAAACTCATAGATACAGAGAACATTTTGATGGTTGCCAGATGAGAGGGGAATTAGATGGGTAGTGAAAAAGGGGAAGGGACTAAGAAGTACAAATTGGTTGTTACAAAGTAGTTATGGGGTGTGTAAGTTACAGCATAACAAATGTAGTCAATAATATCGTAATAACTATGTATAGTGCCAGGTGGGTACTAGACTAGTCAGGGGGATCACTTCTTAAATTATATGAATGTCTAACCACTATACTACTGTACACCTGAAATTAATATTGAATGTCAACTGTAATTGAAAAATTAAAAGGGGGAGACAAGGTGAAGGGGAATAAGAGGTTCAAATTTCCAGGTATAAAACAAATAAGTCATGGGGATGTAACGTACAGCATGGGGAATATAGTCAATAATACTGTGATAGCATAGTACAGTGTCAGATGGTTGTTGGATTTATCATGGTGATCACTTCTTTAGATATATAAATGTTGAATAACTATGGTGTACATGTGAAACTAATATAATATTGTAGGTTACCTGTATTTTAATAAAAATCTTAAAAAAAACTACAAAAAACAAAATATCATCTTTGGCTTTGCTATGAAGAGTGACCATATGATAAAGCCTAAGTAAACAATGAACATACAATAAATTAAAAAAAAAATACTTTGGCTATGAGATTAGATATGTACAATTTATACCTTCTTATGAAATTGAAGGATATTATCTCTTTTTGACAAGGAAAAAAAAATCAATAAACTAGCAAGATTTCTACTAAATAATTTATTTTTTAAAAATAAAATCTCTAGGGCTGGCCGAGTGGCGCGATGGTTAAGAGCTGGCTTGGGACACCAGAGGGCCCCAGTTCGGATCCCACATATGAGGGCCAGTGACACTGCCCTCTACAAAAAAATTAAAAAATAAATAAATAAAATAAAATCTCTAACCTTTGTTACAGACATGTACAAACTCATATCCTTCATTTTGGCATTATTCTTGTGAAGCATGAAAGGGTGAGAATTACTGCTAACTATGAATAATAAAACATGGTACTGAAGAGTTAAATTTCTTATATAAACAATTAACAATCTTATATAATAGTATCAAAGTAAAAATATTTGAAAATAACTGGGTTTAGTAGCCTAATGGTTTGCCTTGAATGCTGTATATACTTTTCAATTGCTTCAAATTATATCATTATATGTATAATATATAATGTGATATATATGTTATATGTTATAATATAAACTAACTTTTAGCTTAGCCTCTACATGACTTACAAAGAATTAACCAGTATCAAAATAAATTATTTATCTACTATTTTCAACCACTAGCACATAAAAAGTCCCACAGCTCCCCCACAAAATCCAACACAAACAAACAATAAACTAAAAAATTACCTGGCATGTTCTTCAGGAAGTTTTCTTTGTCGCTGCATATGAAACATTAGATCTCCTCCATTAACATACTCGATGACAAAGAACAATCTAAACACAGGAAAGCACACATGAGGCCAACATCCAAAACAAGGCAGTGTGACTGTGCATTATGAACACTACAGACATAAGTCAAAACAGAGACAGCACTCTATATATGATTTACCCTTAACAAAAATCCCAGGAATTTGGAGGAAACAAAGGGTAGTTGCAGCAGAAAGCTCTTTAATCAGAGAAGATAGAAGAAAGTAAACCAGCATGATAACAATTGCTTCCTGTGTGTCTTCCTGTGATAACTGTTACTTTTAAAGTAGTACCACTTGCAATACAGAGTCTCTCATCCCACCCCAATTTTAGCATTTTCAAGATAAGTTATTTTTAACTGTCAGAAGTAAGGATTCCTCCCCCTAGTCAAACTCTGGGAAACTTTAAGTCCTAAAACCAAACTCTTACGGAATTTAAAAGGTTGAATTTCTACTGCCATGATTATGACCTGGCTATATTTTTTAAAGCAGGTAATTTCCTCATGTTGATCCAAACTGGTATCATTGATTGGTGTATGATTGTCGGGAAATCATATGCATAATACTGTTGTGTCTGTCTCTAAGACTTCCACTTCAGGAATTATAGCAGGAAGGGCTCTGATTTGTGTAACATACCCAAGTGTGTAAAAGCCCAGTAATCATTCCATTAATTATCTTTCAGTCTTACCTGCTCTCTGTCTGAAAGCAAGAATGCAGCCCAACAAGAAAAGGATGATTGGATGCCTGCTCAAAAACATGCTTCTCTGTTTGTACCCAATCAATATCCTATTTTAAAATATGAAAGAAATCTATGTCAAACTAAAATGATATCAAAACTATGATAAATCTGTTCTTAGCAATTCAAAGATCACAAATGCAATTATGAACTAGGCTAAATATCAAAAGCATTGATAATCATGAAACAATTTACACATACTAAAGGGGAAAACACCACCAGTGAATCTTTCAATATTATTAAACAATCTAGAAAACTTTTACAAAGCTCAGCCAAGCACTTTCCCTTGATAATATGGTTTGATTTTTATTTTTTAAAAATCTAATAATCATCACATTCCTTTAAATACATCCTATATAACTGTTTGAAGCATATACAGTATTTAGAAAAGTAGACTGAAATAATAAGGCACAAACATTGTGGTTTTCTCTGAAATGGTATACTTAAGCCAATTTAACATCATTGTGCTTACCTCATCATCATTGACAAGCTCTTTTTTTACAACTTTCATTGCATAAATACGATCTGTTTTTTTTAACCGCACCAATAGTACTTTGGCATAACTTCCTCTTCCTATTACCCGGAGCAAATCAAAATCCTGAAGACCTAGACTAGATGAAGCTTTGCCACTTTCCCTGGTGTTCATTGCCTGTTGAGAACATTTATATCAGAGTTACACCTGGAAGTATTTTGCATAACAATTATATTTCTAGCACCTAGTTATACCTGTAATTTAAAAAATACTGGGGCAGGCCAAGTGGCGCATTGGTTAAGACCTGGCTTGGGACGCCAGCTGAGCAGCAGGGCCTGGGTTAGGATAGCGCATGAAGACCAGTGATACTGCCCTCTACAGCTAAGATGGTGAACAACAGCTCAACCTGGAGCTGGGCTGCTGTGAGTCTCTGGTGATGGCAGAGGCTGCAGCCCATGCAAAAAACCCCCCAAAAAACAGTAGTTCAATTCCTGGCCCAAGCTGAGCAACCGCTGAGCTGCCAACAGGTGGCAGGAGGGCTCAGCTAAAAAAAAAAAAACCATGTAAAAAAACGACACTAACTTTGGTGATTGGGAAACTGGAGGTACTACTGACAGGATAAGATTGACAGTTATTGAGATAATGAGAGTGGCTTTTTATTTTGAAGTTAAAAGGTACAATGGAATAGCAAGATGGAAGAGTCTGCTAGAAGCTTGATATATGAAACCTGACTGGTGAAGAGACACATTCGGAAGTATTCTTGGAAGCTATAGGCAGAAAAGAAGCATGAGGCAATTCAGCTAATGGAAAACATTATTTTCTACACAATACCAAGGCTCCTGTAGAGCGACAAACTCAGCCTTATAATTCATTCACAAATAAAAACTTAGGCTTCTGGTAATTTATATAGAAGACTGAATATTATCTTTTATTACATAGCTGCAAAATCCTCAGCATACAATCAACAGATGTATCCATGAGAATTAAGTATGAATTTTCTGAAGTGAAAAATATCAAGAAAAGCAAAGAGAAAATTTTTAGAAAGATAAAGAAACTAGTAAGCACAAAACAGAAAAAGAAAAAGTATTGTGAAAACTGAAAAAGAATGATTATTCTAGAGGGTCATACATGAAAACTTAGAAATAAATTTTCTACATTATGATTTGATAACAAGGATAAATAAAGAGAAATGAAATCAGGGCAGATTAAGAAAGCAGAGAATGGTTAGGAGATAAGGCAATGTACAAACTTTAAATATGGTTAATTGGAAACTATAAAATAGAATCAAATGGAACAAAAGCACGGGTATCTTCACAAAAACAGTAAGAAGATTGAGTGCAGCGACAGTATCCAGAAAACGAGAATGTCACCTTCAAAGGGCCTAAACCGCCCCCTGCTGACCTACAATTCTATATCCTGCAAAACTAGCCCTCAAAATAAAAGTGAAATAAAAACATTTTTTAGACAAAAACTAAGGAAATTCATGACTAGTAGGTTCTCACTAAAGGAAATGTTGAGTCCTTCAAGAAGAAAGATAATGTCATATGGAAGGGCAGACACACAGGAAGGAATTTAGGACAAAAAGAGCAAAATATGGATAAACCTAAGGCCTGACTTTAAAAACATGAATACACGCATGCACGCGCACACACACACACACACACACACACACACACACACACACACAGAGTTTTAAAATATGACAAAAATAGCACCAAAGGCAGGAAGGGAAAGTATGTAAATTTAAAGTGTCTTAAGGTCCTTGCATATTATGAGAAATGCTAAAGGTATTAATAATTTGTGTTGAATTTAAATAAGTTAAGGATGTAAGACAATCTCTAAAACCAGTAATAGAATAGAATGGCAGTCAAACAAGCTAAAAGAGGTGAAAAAGGAATAAAAAATAACCCAAAAAAAGGCACAAAAAGTAACAGAAATAGGTGAGATATGGAAAACATAGTAAAATGGTAGATTTAAACACAGATCAGTAATTAGTTTACATATAATTACGAAACATCACTGGCCATGTACCGATAATTGTTTTAACTGGGTAATGGATACAGGGGCTTTGTTATACTACTTTATTTGTTTGAAATTTTCCATAATAAAAAGTTGTATTTTTTTTAAAGGTAACCAAGAATAAAACATAACAACCTATTAAACATTAGAAAGAGAAGGGAAAAGCAGAGGTAGTGTGAACTAAACCTTTCATGGCCAGAAATATATAAAGTTGAAACATTGAAAAACAGAGGTATAAACATTATGGACACAACTAGAAATGATTAAAAAGAGTTGCCTCTCAGAGTGGAAATGGAAGGATCTATATTTTAAACAATACTGCCAAGTATTCTAAACATCATTCTTAATACATTATAATTTTTAGATAATAATAACTTATTAAAAAATAAGTTATTCTACCAGATTATTTCTTAATTTAAATGAAATTAGTAATTAATCATTAAATTAAATCAGAATAAAACTCTAGAATCATTAAAGATCATTCCTGCATTTTACTATTATAATCTAAAATCTAAGCAAGGCAATGTCATATTTTTACACTGTCAAGTCTTATTAAAAAGCTAATGGCATAATGTACAATAAGACTAATTATCTTACCTCCTTTTCTTCACCAACTTGGTCCAAACTCTCATGACTTGACGGATTATATGGAATTACTAAAAACCCAATCCCAAACAAAACGAAAAGAAGAAAAACACAGCATCCATTAACTGAGTTTGACTTAAAATTTTCTCTTGATTTTTTTTTTGTTTTTATTTCCGAATAAGTCTGCATCATTTAAAAGCATCTGTCCTACTAATAACAAATTGTATGTAAAAATGAATTAAATCCTAATCTGTAGTGAGGGTAAAGAGAGCAAGAACCAATCAGCAGTCAAGTACTGATTTTAAATAATATTTTTACTATTTTAAAAATATTTCTCTTCTTTACAAATTAATCAGTTCCTTCTGTAAGGGTGATTCTATAAACCCTATTTAATTATTTTAGTATCAGTAAGGCATGGATTTAGAGGGTCTCTGATGTTCACCCCTCACTTCCTTCATAGTCAAAATGTTCCTGACCACCATACCACATAAATTAAATAAAGAAATTAACAAAGATTGGACTCTAGGCTTCTATTCCTTGAAGCCACTTGAGGCAAAAAAACAAAAGCCTACATTGCATATAACCAGCTTCCTCCATGAACAAGAGCCTACACTCTGTCCTTTCAGAAAAACTCCCTGCCTTGCTTTTCCTGATTCATTCCAGATCAGGCTGCTCTGTTTCATTTAATTGCTCTTTAAATTTCCCAGATACATATTTTAGGTTTTGTATCTATTTAACACTTGAACTCACAAGATCTATTTTTGAATTTTCTATGCTGCATCTCCGTATCTTTTACATACTTTCTACTTTTGATAATAAAGCTTTCAATAAAAACAGGTCACTTTAACATAGTTGATATGGTTCGCAAAATCAGTATACTTCCATTATTGAAAAAAACAAAGTTTGCTGAATTTAAAGAGGTCTCAAAAAAAATTATCTAAATTAGAGAAAATAGTATTTGTTCTAGTTTACATAGTTGTCTTTTTTAAATACCAAACACATATGTTAAATATTGTGATGATATTATCACTACAAAATATGGTTACCTAACTTTTATTTGGGAAGGACATAAGTGTTTTTAAACTTGGGGGAAAGAGTCACCTAAAGAAGTCTTTCAATGATACTTTGTTATCGTTAATGAACAATGGTTCGTGACATTCTTACCTGTCTGTGCATGGTCTGAGTGCATGGATGACTGATCCCCGTGCATCATTGGTTCCTACAAACATTTCCAAAGAAACAGTAACTTAGTGGAATCTTTTTAAATCTCAATACCTCTATAAATCCAGAAACAACATTATTTTGGTGAGACACAGCATATTAAAATTTAAATGTGAAAGAATATGCTGAATAAGTGAGAATTACATTACTATATTTAATTTACTTTTAATTTTATTATACGAAACCAATATATTTCTGTGAATGAGGTAATGTTAGTCACATTTAACAGATAACAGAATAAACACAAAACTTATTTCAGACCATTAATTAGAAATCAAATTAAACTCTGATTTTTTCTCTTCTACACTATCTATTCTTTCTTTGAGCTCCATACACTCATTTTAAGTCTCTGGCAAGAGTCTCTAGTATTTGACTTCTTTAGCTAAGGTTCAGAGATAGACTTCAAGATGTCTATAAACCTCTTGAAATTATACGTAAAATTTTGTGGACTTCCCATTTTTCTGAAGTTTCTCAAAGGTGTCAGTGACCCAAAGAAAAAAAATACCTTCCAGAAACTGACTTAACTGTCAAAAATCTCAGGATAAAGCTAATTCAAACCAAAATGTTACTAATTCATTAATCCTGGAACCAAGTTTAGACTACCAGCAAGAAAGGGTAAACTTGAGAAGGTGCATTAATTATACAATTATAATTTTAAGCCAGCCTTTTCAAAGTGCTTAGTACCTATCCTAAATATAACCATTAACTGTGTTCCTCTTTCCTTCCACATTTATAAACTCATACAAGTCATCCATCATCTAAGTATACTCACGAATAGCAACAGTAACCTAGAAAAATTACATTCACAATTTTTGGCCTTCTGTTTTTCTTTAAGTGGATTTTCACCTCTTTAAGTACAAACCATTTCTAAGCTTCTATGAACTAGCTAAATAATTCTAATACCAAAGAGCCACCAGTAACAACCTACTTTCATAATGTCTAAAGAAGGTACTATGAATAAACATGGTATAATCATTCTAGAAGACAATTTAGAAAGATGCACCCAGATCTTTTTAAAAACACATATTCTTTAATGAAGTATTTCTGGATCCTTAAGGAAACAAAAAGATTTATTTACCAGAAAATTCATTATGATTTTCTTTATAGAAAACAAATGTTTAATCATGGGCAACAGGTTAAAAAAATTATGGTATAGGCATATAACAAAACATTATGCTAAAAAATGATGAGGCTATAGATAGCTAGATATAGAAAGATGACCAAAATGTATTGTTGAGTAAGAAAAATGGGTTAGGAAACAGTACATACATGATCTCATTTTTGTTAAAAAGTATGTAAAAGAACGAGACACAACCAAACTGATGTGCCTTCTACGAAGTAGTCTCAGAAACAACCCATGATAAAAACCAGAATCTAATCAAACTTCCAGATCTAACTATAACATACAGAAAATAAAAAGGACAGGAACATTCTAAACATAACCATGGAAAAGCAAAGAGAAAAATTCAGCAACACTTTAAACGACAATACAGTTTCTTCTACAATTAAATTGTAAGAGAAAAAAGAGAGTGAGAAAGGAGGATAGGGAGGAATATTAAATTAAAAAATATCTAAGAAACAGAAATAGTCTCAGAGACACAGAGGAAAAACTGAGGGTTGCTAGTTGGGAGGGGGTGGGGATGAAGGGGAAGGGATTAGACAGCATAAATAGTTAACTACAATATTGCCACAGGGATACGAAAGACAGTTTGAGGAATATAATTAATAATGTTGTAAATATTTTGTAGGGTGTCAGATGGTCACATGTCTTGCTAGGGAGACCGCATCATGGATGGGGTAGAGGCTTGATCACTGCACTGTACACTTCAAGCTGATGTTGTATAATATTGTATGTCAGCTATAAGTGAATAAATATATATAGTCATGGGACATGGAGTAGAGTATGGGAATGGAGTCAATGGAATTGTAATAGATAAGCATGATATCGGGGGAGGGAGGGCAGTAGATGGGAGAGGGGGGTTGTTTCTGTGCGAAGGGTGAAAAGGATAACTATTGCATTGTTCTGTACACCTGAAACTAACAATAAAAATAAAATAAAATAACGATAATAATAATAATAAAGACAAAAAAAATATCTAAGACACATATCAATAATATGAACTTCATTGGATCCTGATTCACAGTGAAAACTGTAAAAAAAAATTCATAACATTTATGAGACAATTGTAATTTTGAACATTGCCTGCATGGATATTAGATATAAGTTTTTTTATCTAACCTTACATCTAACCTTTTGAACATTGCCTGTATGGATATTAGGTATAAGGTTTTTTATCTAACCTTACATCAAAACTTATATTAGCTATAAGGTTTATTAAAGAGTCCTTATCATTTAGAGATACATCCTGAAATATGTCTGGGATTTGTATCAAAATGATACAGGGTCAGCACAGGTTAAATGGGTGGGGAACACAGATGAAACAAAATGGGCATGAATTGATAACTGTCGGAGCAGGGTGACTTATTGCTATATGGAAGTTCATTATACTGTTCCATCTACTCCTCTATATGTTTTAAACTTTTCTATATGGAAAAATTTTAATGTTTATGAATATAAATTTGCACAGAAAAAGTTCTGGAAGGATATACACAAATAACAATTACCTTTACATGATAGATTAGGCGGGGATTTTTATTAATCTTTGTTTATTAATCTGTATTCTCTATTTTTCCTATAATGAACATGTTTTAATTAATATTTAAAATAAAAAGTGAAAAATAAAAATTTTAAATGCGAAATGTCCCCAGTAATCTGACACTTTCAATAGCAAACATGGAGCCTCTGACTCTTACCTGATCTCTGCTGAGGGTAGATGTGAGGATAATGGGAGTTTTAAACTAATGAGTTTAGCTTAAAAAAGAGAAAAAAAAAATCTCTTAAATGGTTCTCCCTGCATCCTCCTAATTTACACCAGGGGATTTTGTAGCAGGTTAAACAAAAAAGTTAACTATATCCTACAAACGAATTTGTAATAATTCCAAAATTCACAATATGTTAACTGGGCTGTAACGTATTCCTACCCACATTCTATAACAACACTGTGAGTTGTGATTCCTTGACACCACCCTAGTTTAGCCCTCTGTTCTAGAAGCATTATCAAAAATGCTCTATTAAAAACAAATAGACAAGTGGGTCTTACCGGTGGCAAAGAATGCCGCCCACATTCAATTGTGACAAGTTTGTGGCACTTCTTATGAACTAGGAGTTTGCAGTTGATGCACTTGTATCCCTGGCGTCCAAGTCCCCAGATTCGGTCAGTACAGATGGCACAGTGGGCACGCTGGAAAGAGTAATTCAACAAAATTGAGTAATGACAACAAAAAAACGTCATACTCATTTCCCAACAGGTTGCTCATACATTAGTGAAAACAAGAGGCTTTCTTCTCTAACTCAATTCTCTTCATCATATATCACTTTTTCAAAGGTATGATGCTCAGGGGAAAATTAACAGAAAAAAGAACTTAATTTAAAGAGACAGTGTAATTTACAATGATGTTGTTTTCTGTGATAAGTCCAAGAAGTTTCAGTCTCCACATAATTAGGTTAGGAGTAATAAAAATAGGAAAAGTGAATTAAGCTTGAAAAACATACAGCAGAAAAAGCTGTATAAGGATTCTCAAGCAAAAATAAACCTTCCAGTCTGTTCAGAGGTCAAACCAAAGCCCTGTTCTCTTAAAGAGCAATACCTAAAGTGACATTTCATCTCAAAGTTTTATAAGTTTCAGTGCTATTGGGAACAAGAATTTAGGGACCTTGGGTGGTGGCTTCCATTTACATTAATAAAGTCAAACATGGCACTAGTTTTAGAGTGGAAATGGGAGTGCAGAGGCTGGCCGAGTGGCGCGATGGTTAAGAATTGGCTTGGAAGGCCAGCTCTGAGCAGCAGAGCCACCAGTTTGGATACCACATGAGGGCCAGTGACACTGCCCTCCACAGCTAAGATGCTGAACAACAGCTCTACCTGGAGCTGGGCTGCTATGAGTTGATGGCGACGGCGTAGGCTGCAGCCCCTGCTGCAGTGGGCTGCCGTAAGCTACCGTGAGTGGCTGGCAGCTGGCGTGAGCTGCCAAGAGCCGCCGTGAGTGGCCGTCCAGTGGCCAGCGACCGATCTGCCTCACCCGGGAAGAGCGCAATGATCATAACACCAACATGGGTCAGTGAAGTGACGTCCTCCACAACTAGACTGAAGAACAAAAGGACAGCAACTTGTTCCCCTTCCCTGATTCCCCAATAAAAAAATAAAAAATCTAAAAAAAAAAGAACAAAAAAAAAAAGAACTGCTCTAAGGATCATTCTGAACCAAGATGCCAGTCTCCAAAAACAAAAAGAAATGGGAGTCTGCTTCTGGACAGACTGCTTTCAAACCTTGGCTCTGTCACTTACTAGCTGTGTCACCTTGGGCAAGTTATTTAACTGCCCTGGACCTCAGTTTCTTCATCTATAAAATGGAAACAGGTTGTACCTATCTCCCAAGGTTGCTGTGAGGATTAAATGAATCAATATGTCAAGCATTTGGAAAGGTGCCTCATACATAGTAAAAGCTAGATAAATGTTTGCAATTATTTTCTAAACTGTGAAAATTAAAATCACAATACTAAATGGTTTGCAAAATAAACCTAGTTTATTTTCTGGCTGTCTTGAATTAATTAATGCAGTCAGGAACACTTTTAAGAGTAAAAGGAGACACTGTTAAAGCTTACCTCAAAAAACAGGTAACTGGGAATGTTAGGTAACTCTACTTACTCCTTTAACAGGGAATAACAAGACTACCTTTCTTTCAAAGTAGAGAGGAAAAAAATAGAGGTCTCATATTATCAACAAATCAAAATTTACCCTGTTGAAACGCTTGGCTTGAAAAGTGTGGCCATTTGCACAGTAAAGCTTTCTCCAGCGGCGTGCACCTCTGCGGTAGATGGATTCTGAAGAGATTAAAAGTTTAAAAAAGGAGCAAGGATGAATAAAAGTCATTTTATTATAATTAAGTCTGTGACTTTTTTTCATGATATTCATTGCAAGAAAAAAACTATCTTGATAAAAACCTGAAAGTAAAAAAATAAAACATTCATCAAGGGACTAGATGAAAATAAAGCCCACGGAGTATAAATGTTTGAATAACTATTATTGTTCTTCTGTTTTTTCATTTCCCCTTAACTTTTAATTTCGGAAAATTTTAAAGCCCATAGAAGAGTTAAAAGAATAGAACAAATGCCTGCATCCGTCACCAAGATTTACCAATTACTAACATTTTGCCACATTTTGCTTTCCCTTCCTTTTACACAGACACTTTTTTCCTGAATCATTTAAAAGTAAGTTGCAGACATTATAACTCTTCATCCTTAAATACCTAAGTATCTACTGTCTGAGATTAAGGACAGTCCCCCTATTCTACTTAAGCACAATGGCATTACCATGTCTTAGAAAATTAACATTAATTCAGTATTACCTAATATATAGTTCATATGCAAATTTCCCTTTTTGCCTTCCAAGTGTCTTTCATAGTTTTCTTTTTCTCCAGAGGATCCAATCAAGATTCAGACATTTATTTTGATGCTATATCTTTTTTGTCTCTTTAATGTATGCTAAAACATTCACTCTGCCTTATATGTTGTTGTTTGGTTTTAAAGATGTTGACTTTCTAAAAAATGAATGTAGGCAGTTATCTTATGTCCTACATTCTGGATTGGTCTGTTTCATCAGAGTCAGTATTAAGCACTTTAGCAAAAATAATACATAAATGATGTGTATTTCTTATTACATCACATCAAGAGGTACATAAATGTCATATTGTTGACTCCCACTACTGGTGTTCACTCTGTTCAAGGCAGTGATTGCTAGTTTTCTTCATTGTAAAAGTACATTTTCCTTTTTGTAAATACTTTTACAAATGTCTAAGGGACATTTGGTAACAAGAACATTCTCTTCCCCAACAATCTTACATCCAATGGTTTTTATATTAATACTTTTCCTAAACAAACTAAGAGCTTCCACAAAAATTAATTCTAGACTACCTGTGTAATTTTGGTTAAATCAATCATATATATAGTCTATTAGCCATTAATAGTAACATTCCACAGTAATAGTTAATACTGTGAAAAGATTCCATTAGGTTTCTAAACTCATTTTAAAGCAAATGTAACATTGGGTGTACTATTTAGAATTAAAATAGAAAACACCAGTTGAAATGCTCTGAATTATAAATCTTAGTATAATATAAAACTAAACATAGATGCTTTTATTTTAAATTATTTATTGTTAGGAGTAACCAAAGCAGAAAGTTACTGTTCACCTAAAAGAACGTCCTACTCCAGAAGCTTTCATGAACTACAACGTGATATATCTTAAACTTAAATCTGTGAATGTTGCCTAGGTCGTAAAAGGGCCAAGAGACCACATTCATGGTTATCAATTGTCTCCCACGCTCTAGTTTAGTAATATTTATCATCTGGGGAAAGAAATCTCCACCAGCAATTTTTAACAAGGGAAAGTGGGCATGAAATACAGTGAAAAGTTAGGAAATAATATTTTATCTGGGAAGTGTGCTACAGACTCATAATAGATTTGGGGATGGAACTCGGCCAATATCTGCTACAATGGCAAGTCTTTCAAAACTCTGACCATCCAAAGAGAGAATAGCTGCTTCTCCAACAGCTCTGTGATGGCGACCTGCACTGGCTTTAATCCATCTGCCATTGGAACGCCAGCAAAAATAATCCTAGCTGAATCCAAAACTAAATTTTTCACTACTGCTTCAGAGTTCTACCTAATCCTTGTATTTCCCCATCTTCCTATATATTGTATATTGTAGTACATGGCCTCCATTCAACTCTATATACAAACACCCATAGTTCTTTAACTTTTTCTTTTCACCAAGTTGTGTGAAGAGTCATAGAATTAAAAGTGTAGAACTATTTCACTTAATTCAAAGCAAAACATTGACCACAATTCTTTCTAACATCATGGATATGTACAGAAATCATAAATGAAAATGAGTTGCTTAATATCCACAACTATTACACCATATCTCAAAAGCAGTAACTTATGATCATACATGAGTTTGCATGTTTAAATTACATCAAACCAAATAGCTGTATGACTCTTTCAGTTCATTCATTAATGGTAACCACTAGCTTAGAAATGCAAAAGAAAACCCCGTAACAATTCCTGAAGTATTTAGAGGTGAAGTGTCATGTCAGTTACTTTCCCTCAAACAGCACAGCAAAAAAAATAAAATAAAAATAAATCAAGTGTGTTTGTTATGTATACACATGCATGCATATGTGTTGACATATATAGATACAGAGTTAAAGCAAACGGAAAATATTAAAAATTGGTGAATCTAGGCAAAGGATACACAGGTATCTTTGTTTTCAATGTTGTTTCAACTTCATTTTAGGTTTGAAAATTTCCAAAATTAAAACCCAGCAAGATATATAACTTAAAATTAACTTAATTTTCCTTTAAAATACATACTAGACAATTATGTCAGTAATTTGTATTTAAGAACTGTCTGATTTTGATCTGGCAAAAGCAGAGTTTAGGCAGTTGCTAATATATTCTAAATTAGACTAAAACATGGAAAAGAAATCAAATGAATTAAAAGTTCTATTTCTGATTTCCTTTCACTTGTGCTATTATATGATAAATAACTTTATTAAAAGTATATAAACACTCACTATCTTCTCCTGGACAGGGCATTCCAGGACGTTCTGGTACACAAGGAAATACTGAAAGAAAATAAACTAAAATTAATATAGCATATTTAAAACAGGCAAATTAAATAGATTTTAAAACTCAAATATCAAAAAAATTGTCCCAAATTTCAACCTGACCCTCTCTTGACACAAAATATTTACCATATAACAGCGGTTCTCAACCTTCCTAATGCCGCGACCCCTCAATACAGTTCCTCATGTTGTGGTGACCCCCCAACCATAAAATTATTTTCGTTGCTACTCTATAACTGTAATTTTGCTACTGTTACGAATTGTAATGTAAATATTTTTTTGTTTTCCAATGGTCTTAGGCGACCCCTGTGAAAGGGTCGTTCGACCCCCAAAGGGGTCACGACCCACAGGTTGAGAACTGCTGGCATATGATATAGTATTATTTTTTAAAGAGATCCCTTTTACCAAGGCTACCTAAAGGAAGTTTTTATGGAAGTGAACATCCATAAACAATGCATCAGAGGCTCAAATTACTCATTCCAGTCCCTGTTATGTCACTAATTGATTTTTTTGTCTTTAGAGAAATCATTAGGTACTATTTACTTAATCCTTGTTGTAGTGACAAGTTTATTGCAATGAGCAATTAAAATTAAATTATAAAAATGTATATAAATATGAACAGAACCATTATAGTTTTAAAAGGTGTATACTAAACTTAGGAATAAATTAGCACCAGAAACAGTACTCAACTCCAAAATGTAAGTTTTCTTAGGAACTATATATTTATAAACAAGCTAATTCAACCATTTTAATAAAGAGATAGAATATAAAGAAATAGCATGTTTATGAACATCTAGTCAACTATTTGTAGTTTGTGATGTACAAAAGGACATGGTCTCAAAGAGCACAGAGCATGGGAAGCACAGTTCCTAATATAGTTTTAAAAGTTGAAACAAAGCTAACTTCTGAAAACAGAAATGTGATATAGGTACAAAAAGCAATGAAACTTAAAAGGAACTGTTTAATACTATGGAGCAGTCATTTCTTTAAACGTTCATTGTAGTTTTATTCTAGAAAGAGATGACCCCAAAAATGGAAGACTTGTAAAGTTCTGCTAGGCTCTCAAAAAAGTAGATAAGTGATCCCTTGGGAGTCACTATGCCAAATTCTAAAGGTAGACAAAAAATGAAATTGCTATTTTCTAAAAAACATACTGTACAGAAAAATACAGGGAACTATAACAAGGTATTGAAATGATTCTTTCTACTTAGGGAAGGTTTATATCCGTTTCAAGTTTTAAAGAGTTCCCTAGGTCTGGTCTCATAAAGCTCCCAAAAATGTTACATAAAATATTGCCTAAGTATTGCAATTAAATGCAATACATTAAGTGGGTTCTACATGGCATGCAAATTTGAGTGGCAGCATGGTAAAATGAAAAGAATACAGATTAAATGGGAATACCTAGATTTACAACCCAGATCTATACTGTGCAAGTTACGTGATGGATGAGTTTCTGGATGAGTTTCGATTCTTTCTTCTATACTGCTACCCACCTCTCAGGCTTGTGGGCCTTTAACACACTAATGTCTATAATAACTATGTAAATAGTTTCACTGTTAACCCTTCACCCAAAGAGGACATTTAAGATACTTTACCTTTGTAGATCATTATTTGCATTCATTACAAAACTGCATGGGGATGACTTAGGTTCAACTAGGCTTTTGATTCTTAAATTCTATCCTAAACTTTGCTGTGAAACACTGAGCAATGGTCACAATTTAATATCCAAGAAGGCATACACAAATAACAAATTTCCCAAGATTATAAAAAGCTGATTGATTTTATCTTCTCTAGCAATTGAGAAACATGCAAATAAGGGATAGAAATTAAGAAAATGACATCAGGGTTATGTTTTACAATGGTCAAGAGTATAGGCTTATTTTTTATAAAAAAATTGCTCTAGAAGAGTAAGAAATGATTGCTCCTTTACCATGAATCAAGAGTTCAGAATCCTTGTTTAGCTCATAAAGCCTAAAGGCTTCTTCTAACTCCAACTGAGATGATACTGTACACGGGTCTCCTACAAAATATAAAAGTAAAGTAAAGCTCACTTTTTAAGTCCTCTAAAAGTGATGATTACTAAACAATTTCCATTACATAAAATCTTGAAAAATATTACATACATACGTAGAGAAATATCTGACAAGGACAAATCTTTAGATATTTATCTAGACAAGTCTATTCTCTAAAGTAGGCAATATAATTTCCATTTCTATTTCTATAAAATACTATGGGGTTTATAGATACTAAATTTTATACATATAAAACCATAATTCTCAATAATGTATATATTCAAAATATAGCAAACAGAGTCTACCACTGACCATGTTTTACATTGTCACTGCAATATGACTAATGGCCAGGGACAAGCTTTCTGTCACCTGTTTCTTTAACAGAGGAAGTGAAAGTAGTTCCATTGCCACAATATGGTCTGTTAGAGGTCTTTATGGAACCATTTTATCAGATTCTCCCTTCACTTGAGAGCCTGCTCAAGAGATTCACAGAAAGGAAGCAAGGCTAATCAAGTACACTGGACTGAAGAGCCACCCTATTTGAACTGCTTTTAAATATAAATGTATAGTTTTGGTAAACTTACACAGAGAGGGGAAAGGAAGAAACAGCTCGCTTAGTCAACCAGTCAAAGCACTGAGTCATCCTTGGCAATCAATGAGATGACACATCTCTCTGTAGGATGGCATTCCTCAATGAAAGTCATTTTGAACATAGTTGGGGCCTGAGCTGTGTCCTTCACACTGGCATTCTTTTGCTCATTCCTGTGGTTACACCAAATGTTACCACATACCAGATGCCACCAACCTTGTCCAAACCTCAATCACCCTCAGCAGAGAACTCGGTCTACTACTTGAGAGAGAAAATGAAGTCATCTCCTTTCCTGTTGTCTCAGAGAAATGGGTGCCTCTGTTCTTTTCTCTCACTTGGCCACTGAATCCCTGCTTCATGCTACATTCTCTGGAAATTATTCCATTAGTCCTCCTCAGTTTCATTTTCATTTTTGCTTTCCTTCCACAAGCTCTTCTCAGGCAAAGGCATGTTTGAGCCTCCCTTTAAAAAAATCTCTCTCCTACTCAAGTGGTCACTGCATTCATTCAGTAGCCATATATCTCCAGAGTAAATTGTAGGCTGAAACTGAAGGGAGTGGGTGAGAAGAAGAGGAAGAAAAAGGGACAGAGTCCTAGATTTCTGACTTTTTACTTTTGTCCTTTTTAAATCACAGGTTGATAACCTTTTAGACTTTTTAGAAGTAACTTTTTTAATATCAAGAGTGATCCCACCCTGCTTTCTTCACATTCCTATCTTCCATGTATTTCTCAAAACTCTGCTTTCAGGTTTTAGTCCAAACACTACTAAAACAGCTGCTGAAATCAGTGGCATCTTTTCTGTCTTTATTCTAGTTGACTTCGTTGTAGCATGTAACAAAGTTGCCCACTGACTATAAAAACTGTGTCTAGGTTTCTAAAACACCATTTTCTGGGTTTATCAATTTTTCTTCTTAAGTTTTTATTTTGGAAGTTTTCAAACATATTACAAAATCTTGTATCACCTGCATACCCACTCACTTATTCCCCTCCACTGTATCATTTTGAGCAAATCTCTACAACTCTAGATAAAAATTCCTTAATATAATAATCACAATACCATTATATAAACCTATAAAAACTAATAAAAATTCACTATAAAATATCCAAACATAACCATATGCAAAAGAATGAAATTGAGCCTTTATGCTACACCATAAACACAAATTAACTCAAAATACATCAAAGACCTAAATGTAAGAGCTAAAACGATGAAACTCCTGGAAGAAAACACAGGAAGAAAGCTTCAGGACATTGGATTTGGCCTGGATTTCCTGGAGATGATACCAAAAGCACAGGTAAGAAAAAACTGATAAATTAGTATAAATCAAAATTAAAAACATTTGTACATCAAAAGACACTATCAACACAGTGAAAAGACAACCCAAGGGAGAAAATATTTGCAAATCATGTACTTGATAAGGGATTAATAGCCAGAATATATAAAGAATTCCTACAACTCATCAAAAATGATGACGAAAAAATTAAATAAAGAACAAAGGGCATTTCTTTTCCAAAGATATAAAAAGGGCCAATAAGCACATAAAAAGATGTTCAATATCACTAATCATTAGGAAAATGCAAATCAATGTAATACCACTTCGCACCCATAAGGATGGCTATTATTGGGGGAAAAAAAAACAGGGACTACCACATACGCAGAGTTTTAAAAAGGTATCAATTTCTAGATCCTTAACTTCCATATAAACTCCTTTCTAAAAACCATCTGCTTGAGAATATGCCTGGGGTGCTGTGTCCCACCTCACCTTTTCCAAATTTTTCTTTTCCTATTTTATATTTTAAAAATCCCAGACGTATGCTACATGATCTACTTCTATAATACAGAGGGTGCCACAAAAAATGTATACACATTTTAAGACATTTTTTAAATTTTTTAAATTTTTAATTAGTTTCAGGTGTACAAAACAATGCAATAGTTATCCTTTTCACCCCTCACAAAGTGACAACCTCCTTTCCCCATCCACTGCCCTCCCACCCCCGATGTCATGCATATCTAATACAATTCCATTGACTCCATTCCCACACTATACTCCACATCCCATGACTATGTATTAAATTATAGTTGACATATAATATTATTCAACGGCAGCTTCAGATGTACAGTGCAGTGGTCAGGCCTCTACACCGTCCATGAAGTGGTCTCACTAACAAGACATGAGTCCCTCTGGCCCCCTAAAAAATATTTACAACACTATTGATTATATTCTCCAAACTGTCTTTTCTATCCCTGAGGCCATATTGTAGTTACCAATCTATGTTGTCTCGTCCCTTCCCCTTCTCCTTCATCCCCACCTGATCCCCACTAGCAACCCTCAGTTTTTCCTCTGTGTCTCTGAGACTATTTCTGTTTACATTTCTCATTTATTCAGTTTTTTAGATTCCACATATAAGTGAGATCATATGGTATTTGTCTTTCTCTGACTGACTTATTTCACTTAGCATAATGTTCTCTAGGTCTATCCATATCATTGCAAATGATACTATTTCCTTCTTTATAGCTGAGTAATACTCCATTGTATAAATGTACCAAAGTTTCTTAATCCAGTCATCTACCAATGGGCATTTCGATTGTTTCCAAGTCTTGGCTATTGTAAATAGTGCTGCAATGAACACAGGGGTGACATATTTTTTTGAATTAGTGTCTTGGGTTTTTCTGGATAAATACCTAAGAATGGAACTGCTGGGTCATAAGTTAGTTCCAGTTCCAGTTTTTTGAGATACCTCCATACTGATTTCTATAGTGGCTGCACCAGTCTGCAGTTCCACCAACAGTGCACCAGGGTTCCCTTTTCCCCACAACTTCGCCAGCACTTGCTGTTTGTTGATTTATTGATGATAGCCATTCTGACAGGAGTAAGGTAGTCTCTCATTGTGGTTTTAATTTGCATTTCCCTAATGATTAGTAGGGTTGAACATTTTTTCATATGCCTGTTGGCCATCTGTATGTCCTCTTTAGAGAAATGTCTCTTCATATCCTCTGCCCATTTTTTAATTGGGTTGTTTGTTTTTTTGGTGTTGAGTGGCATGAGTGTTTTATAAATTTTGGATATTAACCCCTTATCAGATATATCGTTGACAAATATCTTCTCCCATTCAGAAGGCTTCCTTTTTGTTTTATTTTGGTTTCCTTTGTTGTGAAAAAACTTTTAACTTTGATGTAATCCCATATGTTCATTTTTGCTTTTACTTCTCTTGCCCACGGGGATGTATCAGTAAAAATATTGTTCAGGGTAATGTCTGCAAATTTACTCCCTATATTTTCTTCTAGGAGTTTTATCGTTTCAGGTCTTACATTTAAGTCTTTAATCCATTTTGAATTTGTTCTTGTATATGGCGTAAGGAGGTGGTCCAGTTTCATTTTTTTGCATGTATCAGTCCAATTTTCTCAGCACCATTTATTAAATAGACTATCTTTACCCCAATGTAAATTCTTGCTTCCATTGTCATAGACTGTCTGTATATGCATGGATTTCTGGGCTCTCTATTCTGTTCCATTGATCTATGTGCCTGTTTTTATGCTAGTACTATACTGTTTCCATTACTGTAGCCTTGTAGTATGTTTTGATGTTAAGACAACATCTCTTAAATGTGTATACGTTGCTTGGCACCCCTGAAATGGCACCTCAGGTACAAGTATCCATACAAAGATTTGTACATGATTACCATAGCACTTTTATTTGTAATAGCCCCAAACTGGAAACAACCTCAATGTCCATGAACCGATGAATGTATAACAAATTGTGGTACATCCACACGATAAAATACCACTCAACAATAAAAAGACATAAACTAATACACACAACCCATATATCAATAATTATGCCGAGTAAAAGAAGACCAAAAAAAAAAAAAAAGAGAGTGAGAAAGAGAGAACATGATATATGATTCCATTCCTATAAAACTCTAGAAAATGCAAACTAATCTATAGTGACAGAAAACAGATCAGTGCTTGCCTGGGATGGAGGGAATTACAAAGCACAAGGAAACTTTGGGGGTAAATGGACATGTTCTCTATCTTGCTGTGGTGATGGTTTCTTGGGTGTCAAAACTCATCAGAATCAGACTGTATACTTTTAATACGTATAATTTGTTGCATGTCAATTATACCTCAATAAAGCCATTTTTTAAAAGGAGAAATAAAGACATGAAAAAGCTGAAAGAATTCATCACCAGCAAACCTTCACTATAAGAAATGTTAAAGGGAATTTAACATTTCCCAAGCAGAAGAATAATACATTTCCCAAGAATTTAACATTTCCCAAGCAGAAGAATAATACCAGTTACAGAATGAGAGCTGCTCAGCGGTATTTAGGTATTTTTTTCTTATTGATGTTGATTTTCATTTTAAAATTTTCAGGTTTGAAGCCATAATATTGCTATCTAAGCAACTAAAATAACACTGAATATACATAGATTTAGTCAAAAAGTTTCCCCTTACTGTTTTTTCTGACATGATTACCAAGGTTAGTACATAGAGTTGGGTGATAAAGAAAAGTATGAAGAATGATTTGCTATTTTGGTTCTTAACACACCAGCTAAAATTACACCAGACTACAGATGTTTGGGAAAATATCACACAAGAGAAGTATGTTTCTTACCATCCTAAGTATGGCTTTGACACATATTGGCACTCAATTTCCACATCCCCTCCCCCCCGCCCAAATGAACATATCAGATTTTATAATGCAAGTCAGGAAGAAGTTTAATCTATCAGAGTTCAGAAACACTCTATATTCTTTATGTCAAAGAATGCTTATAGTCACTTTAAATGTCCATGAATCTCACTTATTGAAACCAACAGGACATGAATTAAAGAACTGTATCCAAATAATGCCCTCTCCCACTCTCTGCAAATTACATACATTTTCAATTTTTTCCCTCACTTAGTCTTTTACAGAGTGTAAAAAAAAAATAATTCACATGTGCTACTGGTGAAAGTATAACAAAAGACACAATATTTTTGGAGGTCAGTTTGGTATCATCTATCACCAAGGACACATTTCATTTCGAGGAATTTACCCTACAGATAATACAGTACAGGTGCCAAAAAAATATATGCACAAAGGTATTCTCTGCATCAATATTTTTTACAAACTGCAAACAATCCAAATATCCATCAAAAGGGAATTTGTTAAATAAATTAGGGTACCACCATGTTATATAATACCACACAACATTTAAAGATAAATCTATATCCACTGATACAGAAGTATGTCCACAACACGTTAAGTGAAAAAGCAGGTTAAATAACAGCCTGTACAACATCAGTCTATTTATAAGAAAGAAAAAACTTGTTACCCTGTCCCTTCTAGTTGTATATTCATAGAAAGAGACATCATCAGTTTGTTTATAGAGCTATTTCTGGGGATCTGAGGATTCCCAGTGATATTTTTTTCCTTCGAACAAATCAGTATTTTTGTAAAAAGCATGCACTATTCTTAATAAAAACTTCAATAAGAAACAAAATATCCAAAGGATACTTTATAGAAGAGAAATGACAGAAAAGAAACATGGTTAAATCTAAATCAGGTAATCAGATCCCAAATAAATTAGAAATTTGTAGAATAGAAATTCAGAAAATATTATTAGGTGGTAAATAGAAAGGGGAGTATGATTGTTACAAAATTACTATTCATTCTAAAATCTTTAGTTACATTAAGCAAACCAGTTTTTCCACACACACATATCAAATCAGTAAAACTGGTTTTGAACACAAAGAAAAACGGCGGTGGTCATGAAATCTGTTTAAAGGAATGAAGTAAGCCTATGATCCTTATTTGCTCTAATATAAAATCCCACAATTATATGTTTAGCTTCTAGAATAGTGTTTCTCACAAATCAGAGAATTAAAATTATAGTTGTCTTCCACTGATTCTAGAGAAAATTTTTTCTCCAGATAAGAATGCCTTAATGTCTATATGGCTAAAAATAAAGGTGACAAAATTACAACTGAAAAAATAATTGCAAGGAACTTAAAAATAATTACTACTGTCTAAAATTAAGAAAAGACTGGTATCAAAATTAACCAAGGTAAGAAGGATCACATGGGAATCAACAGACTTTAATGGAAAGTTGAACCTTTTACTTAAATGAGGCAAAGGCTACAGTGTTGTTTCACCCAGAAAATTAGGACACTTGATAGCTACTTAGAGAGAGAGAACTATGGATTGCATTATAAAAAGATATGACTGTTTCATCAGATAATTAATTTAATTTACTGTGTGAATCTGTTAATTAAAATATGCTATTGTTATGAAAAAATAGAATAAACCACAACTTCCAGTGCTTAAACCTTCAATAACAGACATAAAACTACATTGTGGAAAGTCTTGCTACTAGCCTTTTGTACAATTCACGATATTTTTTGTGCATACTATTATGGAATACTGCTTTAGGCACTGGAGGTCTGTGGTGAAAGACAAGATCTCTGCTTTCATGGAGCTTACATTCTACCGTACAAATAAGATACAAAGTGAATGGGGTAAAAGCCTTGGAGGACATGGCATTTCAGTTAACACCTGAATGACAAGAAAGAGACAGCCATGTGACAACCTGGGAACAGAACTCTCCAGGCAAAGATAATACAAAATATAACAGTACCATAACATTTTTTAATGGATTGTCTCTAAACCAATTTCTTTTAATAAAATGAATTATCTAGTAATTCCTATGTGCACTATAGTTTGAAACTCACTGATTGCAAAAACCTTAAATGGCAAATAAATAGGATGAAATGATCAGAACAGGATTAAAATGAAAATAACACTAGTTCACGATAAGATTCAGTTTATTGATGCTAATTATACTCTATGCACTGTGCTTAATTATAGTCTCATTTTCAGGCTAAAGATATACTGTGAGATACCCATACCATTTATAATTAAAAATATGTCAAGTAACCTTGTGATAGGTCAAAAAGTGGTTGAATAGATAAAGATACTCAGTCTTACTCTTAAATAGTACAAAATTTAAAATATCAAGTTAGCATTTCACTTATAGATTTCAAAAAATGTCAAGGGCTCATAATACCTGAGGATGGTGAGGGCAAAAGTGAAGGGATGTTCTCATTCAATGTATTAATAGTTGTACCATAAATTGATTTAACTGTTTTTGACAGCAAATTGTCACTAGCTACCAAATTTATGATGTGCACATTCTGCAAATTTGCTCAACAGAGAGTCCCGTACAATAGCATAAAATTACATACAAAAATGTTCATTATATTCTCCTCATAGTAGTGAAAAACTGGAAATAGTCCAAATGTACATCAATAAGGGATTACATAAATCAATCAATCATGAAATATAATATTTACACTATGGAGTACTATGCAGTGTTAAAAAAAGTGACAATGTAAATCGATATACATTGAAATGAAAAAATATCCAATACACAATGTAAAAAAAATATATTACTTAAAAGTTAGTATATAATTCATTTTTGTGTAAGAAAAAAAGTATGCTTGTTATAATGTACAGAAATAAAAATGTTTGTATATGTATTGAAAATATCTAGAATATATAAGCTGTTATCAGTGGTTTCCTCGCTTAAGACTGGGATTGGTGAGGGAGGAGAAGAGAAAGGGCAAACAAAAGACTTCTTTTTGAATTCCGTACTACAATACTTTTTTTTCCCTCAAACAGTGAACATAGATTAGCAAAACTTTAAAATATGAAAATGGGTTTGAATTTACTTATAGCTTGGAGCTGGGATAATATCTTTCCAGGGCTCTTACATCAGGGAACTTAGAAATGGCCCCAAATATTAAGTTAAATATGATAATGGCATTCCCTACCTAAAATGAAATTCCATTCATATTACAATTAATAGAAAACCATCATAAAAAACTAGTATATTTAGGGTATCTTTTAACTATACTTCAGTGACATTCTATTGTGTAAAATAAAGTCTAATGTGGTTTGCAAAGCCTTCAGGGATCTAGTCCTATGCTTCTCAACCTTTAATATTCATGCAACTCACCTGTAGATCCTGTTAAAATATAGATTCTGATTCAGTAGTCTGTGATGGGGCCTGAGAGTCCCCTATGCAGTAAGTTCCACAGACTACACTTTAAGTTGCAAGGATCCAGGCAAAGCTCATACCTCACCACTCTCCACACCTTAGATTCAGTGAATTATTGCTCTTCCCCACACACCATGTTCTTCGTACCTCTGTGCATTTTTATATCTTATTCTTCATTGTAAACGGTTTCCCCCTCACCTCCTTCAATTCAAAAACTTTTCCTTTTTGTTACAGGGTTAGTTCAAACATCACAGATATTTCAGGCATATGTAGATGCTGCTTCTTTTGTATTCCGAGTCCCCTGTGCATCTGTTTAACTTAGTATTAATACATTTGTTACTCACATGTCCATCTCCTATGAAACCACGACTTTGAGAATAGAAAATACTGATCCTTAGCACTCAGGTATTCAATAAATGTTTCCTGAGTACACGTCAATCAAGTATAGAGCGTCTGCCACCATCTTTGAAATGTTTGTTACAATCACTTTTATTCCGTACACTTTCTTTAAAGTAATATTCAGTAAAAAAAAATACCGTCAAAGTATTGAAAGTCTTTTAAAATATAAGACAACACATTCAAAATTAAAGTAAAATGTTACACTATTTCATGAGATGGTTACTGTTGCTGGAAAAAAAAGTCATGTTAATTTCATTCTATTTTAGAATAGAAAGGGCAAAACAAAGATTGTACTCTTTCAATTTCAATACTTGAGGGAAAATAAGAATGGCATCAAATTTCTAATATACCTTTCCCTCTTAAATTAATTAGGACTTTTTTGTATTTTAAAAACAAATGATAGAATAGTATCTTAAATCAAATGCTTACACAGCAGCCCTCTTTACCACTCACCTTCCTCATCTATCCATTTCATGGTGAAAAGCTGCTCGTTGTCGAAAGAACACATGTCTCGAACCTCACTGCAAAGGCCCTCAAAGGAGATTGAAGGTTCAAAATGTGTTATCATGATATCCCTGAAAAAGAAAGGGAATTTTAAGTTTGACAATGATTAAAACTAATAATGTTCTACACATTACTGAATGCCCAACAATTTGATGGACTTCAGCTATTCTATGTGTGCATCAACATGTGTTGCTTCCAGTAAATCATCTCTGTAAAGTAAAAACATTAAACAATGCTTTACAAAAACAGCGGATTTGTGAGAAACCTTAATTCAGTCCCCCCTCATTCAAGAAGTCCACCCTAAGTGCTCTTACAGATGGTAGTGCCACCTTTGCTTCAATATTAGTTATCAGAAGATCACTTTTGAAAAGCATTGCACTCCAGAGATGAATAGCTCTATTACTGATAAACTTCTGCCTTATATTTAACAGAAAACTGTTCCAATCACTAGTCTCAGGTCTCCCCTCCACAAAAAATCTTCCCTTTGTCCAAGTGATGGATGGTCCTTCAACAATTTGACAAAGATCTGCCATGTCCTCTTCGTCAGCCCTAACTTCTACAGATTAACCACGCATTAGATTGTCAACCATTCTTTGTATGGCATGATTTTTGGATCTCACACTTTCATTTCCACTTTTTCCCAAAAGAATTCCCATTTGCCAAAACTTGTTTTAAAATATGATTCATATTTTAAGGTATATACTCCCAAAACACAAGAATAGACATAAATGTGTAAGCAACTGTATTTAAACAAGTTCACCTAGCAGCTATTCACTATAAAACTTAAAATTGCGACAAAATGTTTTGGAGCAGAAGCCTGGAGTTTCCTCCAAAGAGCTATGATCTAATCACACAGTAGCCAGCCACAGTCATCCTTCAGAAGGTAGGGCAAATAGATAGGAGGATCCTAATTTAACAAACACTTAAATAATGATTTCTATTAGTCAGACTCTGTTCTAAGGGTTTTACAAAATCGATGTTCATGTCTTTCCTGTTTTAACCTCTTCAAATGCCTTTCGCCTCTCATGTATAGAGTAAAATCCCAAGTCCCTAGCAGTCTACAAGGCCCTGTGTTAACTGGCCCTGGCTACCTCCGACCTACCTGTTCTACCATTAGACAGATAAACCGAAGTTTACAGCCTACTACCTACCCCTGCTAGAATGTAAGCTCAGTGAAAGGAGGAACTTTGTCTTGTTCATTACATTACTTGTGGCCAAACGCAATGCCTAACACAGAAGAGGTACTCGAGGTACTCGATAAATATTTGTTGATGAAAGGAAGGAAATGACACTGTTAGGAACAAACATGGGTATTTGGAACGTAGAGCTGAAAATAAGAAATTAAAAACTGTAGTCATCTGTAAAAAAAGTTAAAACTGCAGTCTTAGAGGCTATTGAGGTTAGCAGAAAGCCAAGCATAAAAATTGAATGACCTTTTCTTGATAATCCTTCTCTTCCTAGGCATCTCATCCCTTTCTGCCCCTGCCTCTTAGAACCCTCTTGCCTGGCTTTCGTAAGAGTATGTTTCCCTGGCTCTCTTTCTACTATTCTGAACACTTAAGTCTCCCTTTGTCTTCAATCACAGGACATTCTTTACACTGGCTCTCATATTCATTCTCTGTCTCTCACTCTTTCTCTCTGAAATCTAATTCACATTCAATGTTTTAACTATTATCACTAGGTAGGGGTCTCCTAAATCTGTGATTCCAGCTCTCTATGTGGTATTTAAGACTCTTGATAATCTGACTGTAATAGCTATTCTCAACTTCATCCCATTATTCCCAACACAAATACTCTACTACAGACATCTCATTTACCCCCACACATAAGACCTTATGATCCAAGCTTTAATTCTGATGTTTCCTCAGTTTAAGGCTCAGTTTATGGAGGAAGGTGGTGGTCAATCTTTAACAGGTACTTCAACATCAACTTCCATTAAAAATTTTTCAATCACAAGTCCAATGGTCTATATTTCTAAACCTGTCCAACATGTGTATGTAATGTTCCATCTTTTGTTATTTAACTAATCATATACTGATAAGACATCCTCAACTAAATTGTAAACAACTGGAAGACAAAAATTCTTGAACTTTTTAATATATTCATATAACTATTAACATAATTGGGACTCAAACATTTAACTAAATGTAGAAAAAATACTTTCTAGGAAAAACCAATCTTTCAGAAAATGCACTTTTGACAAGGAAAATCACTGTTTATGTTTCCTTTGCCTGTAAACATTTATAGAATACTTAGTATGTTCCAGGTGTTTAAACAAACTTTATCTTATAGAGTCTTCAAAATAACCACCAAACTAGACATACTAATCCTATTTTACAGATTTAAAAAGCAAAACACTTTCATTCTGGAATATTTGCCACAGTCTCACAATTAGAAAATACAGTATGACTTCAAATCCAAATCTCCTCATGACTCCAGTGGTGGGTGCTGTAATCTGACCCCCACCCCCCAGAATCCCCCATTAGCAGTGAAACATTTATTATACCAACTGCTGGGAGCATTACCAGTAGACAATCCCCAGCTGTCAGTCTCCTTCAGAGATTTGACTCCCCGAGTATGGTCACACCCCCTTCCTAGAGCTGCTCACAGCCAATGACTGATTCAATGTGGGGGTATAAAGGTCCTAGATGTGAGTCTGGAAAGCTCTGAAGTGTCAACTCATCTTCAGAACTCCCTGGAGGGTCCACTGAGGTTTCTGTTGAGACTTCAGGGCATCTTGATGTTTTCCTGCCTAAGCCTGCCTCCTTCCCTTCCCTTCCATAGCTGTCCATCCCAAGAGCACTCCTGAATAAGCCTGCTGCATGCTAATGTGAGATGCTCCTTTCCACAGCAGCACCAACCCAATGCATGGCTATTATCAGATGGTATTTTTTGACAAAAAACAATGGATACAAACAGTCAATCTCCCTTTTAAGAGACTGGCTGATGATAAATGTAATCCTTGTTTTGGAGATTAAATTAGTCTACTTTAGTACATGAAGCTAATTAATTTTTTTAATTGTCCTGAGAAAATACATCGCCAGGATGTATAAATTATACATATTTTAAGTCTGTCTCACTGGACTAAGTGTAAAATCCATGAGAAGAGGCACTCTGTTTTGCTCATTGCTGTATCACCAATACCTGAAGCAGTACCTGGCCCAGAGTGGACATTCTGTTAGTAAATTAGGTGAATGGAGGTGTCACATGTTGGACTCTAAAGACAGCATGGGAAATGTAAAAAATAACAAGCATTTCAGAAAGGAGGAATGGCATATAAGAGGCAGCCACAGTATAATGGTTAAGACCATGAGAGTTAAAGCTGAGATGCTTCGGTTTGAATACAGGCTCCATCACTCATCAGCTATATAACCTTAGGTGAGTTACTTAACTTCTGTGTGGCTCAATTTCCTCATCTATAAAATAGGAATAATAATATCTCATGTGGTATTACAAGAATTTAATGGATTAGGTGAATTAACACTTAGAATAGTGTCTAGCTCTAGCATGTAACACACTCAATATGTGTTCAATAAATTTTTAAAACATTATATATTCATATAACACTTTAAACAGAAGTGAAACCTCATTACAGAGATAAAAATAATCCAACCTTCTAAAAGCAACACACAGATGCTTCTGGTTTAAGGAATGCACGTCTACATCTTTTCATCCTAGGGGCCCACTGAAATGACAAATTATCAAAGTCTTAGAAAACAAAAAAGGTACCAGCAGCAGACCAGAAAGTATGGTCTTAGATGATTGAAAAGTAAGAAAGTCTTAGACGATTGAAAACAGATGGGTTAAAATTGACCCAGAAAACATACCAGCCCCAAACAAAAAAATTTAAGAGGAACCTTTTAAAAAGAGAAGTTTTATTGACACAAGATTACTTTTCCTTCTCTAAATATCTAATCACACTACTTGGATCCTCAAGTACATTAACACTTACATAAGCATGCGATATAAAAGCTTTTTAAAATCACTTTAAAGTTATGAGTTAAAGAATAAATAATGTTATAAACCTTTACAATGTAAAAATTACTAAGAAAAAAATCAAGATGTGGAGAAAATAAAAGTGTAAATTCAAAAATGTTTCTTTTCCTAGTGAAGAGTCAATACTCTATCTAAAATTAATAATTTAAAAATAAAAACACGGAACAAAAACAAAAAAACCCGAAAAAAAAATGGCAAAGGACTTAGACATTTCTCCAAAGATGATATACAAATGGCCAACAAGCTTATGAAAAGATGTTCAACATCCCTAATCATTAGGAAAATGCAAACCAAGACCATAATAAAATATCACCTAATACCCATTAGGATGGCTACTATCAAACAAAAACAAAAACAAAAAACAGAATACAAGTGTTGACAAGGATGTGGAGAAAGAGGAGCCTTGTGCACTGTTGGTGGGGATGTAAAAATAGAATTTCCATATGATCCAGCAAGTCCACTTCTGGGTATATATCCAAAAGAACTGAAAGCAAAGACTCCAATGGATATTTGGACATCCATGTTCATGGCAGCATTATTCACAATAACCAAAAGGTGGAAGCGATCCAAGTGTCCAGCAAAGATGAATGGATAAACAAAATGTGATATATGAATACAAAGGATTATTCAGCTTTAAAAAGTAAGGAAATTCTGACACATGCTCCACCATGGAATGAAGCTTGAAGACATGCTAAGTGAAAAAGGCCAGTCAAAAAAGACAAACACAATGTGATTCCACTTACATAAGGTATCTAGAGTAGTCAAATTCTTAGAAACAGAAAGTAGAATAGTAGTTGCCAGGTGTTTGGGGGAGGGGGAACGGGGAGTTGTTCAATAGGTATAGAGTTTCAGTTTTGCAAAATGCAAAGTTTCGGAGTTTCGTTGCACAACAATATGAACAATATGAATGCAGTTAACACTACTGAAGTGTACACTTTAAAATGGTTAGGACAGTAAGTAAATTTAATAGTTTTGTTTTTATCACAATTATAAAGAAAAAAGAAAAGCAGGAGAAGGTGTTTTATTGAAATTATATGTTTAACCACAGAGAAGTAAAAATAGTCAGGAGAGGAGG